GAGTAAATCAATGAAATGTGAAAACACCGGTTTTTCGAACGTTTTTTTAACTTTGAACGCGTATTACAGCAATATCGATAGGAGCACAGGAATGTATCTACACTTGCTGGATTCCCCAAACATTCAGCTTTCATATGCATATATTGGATTCATAATCAATGAAATGTGAAAACACTGCTTTTTCGAACGTTCTAATTTCAATATATATTAATTTATACCAACATTAAATAAGTTTTACCCCTAATTTGGTGTAATTTACTATGGTAAATTTTACCTCTAAGTAAAAGTATGTGTCTGATATAATTATTATTGTTGTTATGAATTAAAACGTTATTTTTTGATAAACATGATTATTATTTTCTTGGTCGAAAATCATTATAAATTCGTGATTACCTAAAAAAATAAATCAGTATTTCCTCCAATGATATTTTATTTCAAAAACAAGAAAAATTAAATGCATATAAATACAAATTATAAAAACAACATAAAATTATATGTAAACTATATCCGTTTACATATTTTCTTGTTATTTTTTTTCTACATTTTTTTTTTTTTTTTGAAATGTTTTTCAAACCCGGATTTCTTTCACTTTTTTCCATCTTACGTAAAACCATCAATTAAATTACAATTAAAGGTATTTATTCGTGTTGTGTAAATTGAATCTAAAAGTATTTGAAGAAGAAGAAAAAAAAGCAGACAGACTACTAATTATTAATTTATACAAAACGAATTACGACAAGCAATTAACACCGGATACATATATCAATTTTTAATGCTCAAGTAATTTAAATTGATAGTTTAGTAAAGTTAAGCAACGCCAATTTAGGATGATGATTTTACGGTTGCATATGGGCAAACCGGGCCGAATCCGGCCCTTCTACTTCTTTTAATCCGTATATGATTTACATAATAAACCAGGGACGGGAGAATGCGGATCTTTTGATAATATTTTGCGACTACCAGATCTCACTCTTTGGCTCTTTGCTCTAGAAGGTTGTTGAATTTATTTATTCAATAACTTGGTTCTTCACTTTGAAACATATAGATTTTTTAGAAGGTTTTTGTCAACTTAAAATTATTATAGAGAAAGTTGATTTATTGTGCGCAAAAGGTTTTTCAAGTTAGTCTTTACACCAGTGATTCTCAAAGTGTGGGTCGCAGAAAAGTTGATGATAGACGGGACGATATGTTTTTCTGCCTCTTCTTCGAGGTGTTCTTTCATTCTTTTACGTAAAAAAAAGGGGTCGCGGTTCAAAAAGTTTTAGAAACACTGCTCTTCTTTTTATTATGCAACTTCATGTACGTCGTGTGCGAAAGATGACAAAAATGGAACGGATGTCCGGCGTACCTTTAACACTTGTAATAAATACTAAAATAATTGAAATTTATATGTTGATTTTTCAGATTCGTCCGCATCGTTGCCTTCGACTTCCCGAGATGGACCGAGCAAAAAGAAGGTTTACACCTGCTTCCTGGAGAGCTGCAGGAAAAGCTACAAGAAGAGTTCGCACCTGAAAGCTCACATGCGTTCGCACACAGGTAAAGAACGAACAATAAAAAACACAAAAATCTTCAAAATACAGATTCGTTATTTATTTGTTTTTGCTTTCGCAGGTGAAAAGCCTTTCGTGTGCAAATGGCCGAATTGCAGATGGCGATTCACACGTTCCGACGAGCTGACGCGCCATCTGAGGACGCACACCGGCGATAGACCGTTCAAATGCGAGGTTTGCGGAAGGAGCTTCGGAAGATCGGATCATTTAGGGCTGCACCGGAAGCGACACGTGTAGGGAGGAAGCTTCCGGTTGCGCGCAACAAAGAGAAATAAAAACCAATTGTAGGCCAGTATATTATATGCAACAAGTTCATTAGTCAATTATTGTTTTTAATGTGTGTGTGTGTGTGTTTTTTTTTTATATTATATAATTATTTTTGTTTGTTTATTGTACATTTTTTTTTTTTTTGCAACTTTGATTACCAACGGTTAATACTCGAAACAAAACTAAGCTTAGGGTTGGTAGGTGTGATTTTGCGTGTACGAAGATGTTCGTTGAGTTAGCAAACTGTACATTATTATTAATATTATTTGAAAAACAAAGGACAGTTTACGAGAGGGGCATTTCTAAGGCCAGTATTTTTTTAGAAATGTTTTTTTTTTATATAATACATATACAATTTTATTTGTAATTTATATATAGTGTAGAGAAAGATATATATTTTTTTGTTATGTATATTTCTTTTCCTTTAGAGCCAGTTCTTTACTTTACAAAAAAAAAAACATATATTATCTAGATA